GTTATTCTAAGATCTATCTTTTTAGCCGCTGCTAATGGTATAAACGTTATAAGGATTGCTTACTAACATTTCACAATTTAATGCAACCTTCTTGTTTTGAGAACTATCCACTGTTTTATCATTCATGTTAATGTGAAAAGTTGAAAGTTCTTGTTCATAGATCTACATTTGGATGTGTTATAGCTGTTGCTCTTGTGTTGAAACCAAGCACTGTTATCATTGAAACAATCATATGATTTAAACTTTTATATTGAATCATTCTTGAACTATAGGTTGCTATTCAGAATTGCAAAAATGACTCTTTGGAGTCGTTGAAGACTATAGGTTGTCATTTGGAATCGTAAAAATGAACTGTACCTAGTTGGAGAGGTTGTCACTATTTTGAAAGGCTTAAAAGTACTTTTTGAAGAGTTACATAATTGCTGTTTGAATTGGTAGCAGACCATAAAAGTGTTGTTTGATCTTTCAAATTGTTGTTTGGGTTCCTGGGAAGCTATACAAGTGATGTTTAGGGGTTATTTTGGGGACTGGTTCAGACGGGTTTTGCTGCAATTTTCGGAGCTTTAAATGTATTTTTTTTAAAGGGAGACTTTGTCACTGTTTTGGGCTAGTTTTTCTAGCTAATTTTGTAACATTTAAAATTAGTGTTTTGGGCTTATATGAGAGCTATTTGGGAATTTTAAAATTGTTGTTTGGAACATTTTAAATGTGGTGTTCGAGGCTTTTAAAGGTGTTGATTTGGAAACTTTAAAAGTTGTTATTTTAGGCCGCTCAAAACATTGTCTTGGAGTAGATTTAAACACTCCTCTTGAGGGTCGATTTAATTACAACATTGAAAGGATTTAAACCTTTTTTTAGGCCGATTCACTTGTTTTTCCCCCGCTTTGGCTTTGCTAGTTTCGGAAGTTGGCCGGCCTTATCCTTTATTTTATATTTTTTTAAATGGTTAAGTCATAAAGATGAGGATTGATGATTTAACTAACTGGAAGATATAGAAAACATTAAATCACCTTAAGCGTAAGTTAAAGAGTAGGTTTCCTACACTTTAGGAGTACACCCTAGGTGGGAGCCCATCCACCTAGTCCTCGGTTTAGGCTTCCTACTCTTTAGAAGTACACCCTATGTGAGAGCCCATCCACTTAACCCTCAGTGTAGGCTTCCTAGACTTTAGGTGTACACCATGTGTGAGAGTCTATCCATCTGGTCATCAGTTTAGGCTTCCTACACTTTAGAAGCACAACCTAGGTGAGAACCCATCCACCTAGTCCTCAGTGTAGGCTTCTTAGAGCTTAAGTACACACCCTAGGTGAGAGTCCATCCACCTAGCCCTCAGCACCTAGTCTTCAGTGTAGGCTTCCTAGACTTTAGGTACACACCCTAGGTGAGAGCCCATCCACCTAATCCTCAGCATAGACTTCCTAGTTTTCAGAAGCACACCCTAGGTGAGAGCCCATTCACCTAATTCTCCGCATAGACTTCCTAGTTTTTAGGAGCATACCCTAGGTGAACGTTCATTCACTTAATCATCGAATGCACAGTGAAACTAGACACTTGACCCTAATTCACAAACTGATCAAGACACTAGACACCAGGATGCACCGAGACGTGACCCGTGCTTCTTTAATTAAATCAACAGTGAAATCCTCATAATGACTTAACCTACAATAAAACCCAATGCATCGGGATTTGAGCTTGGATATTACACTCAAATCCTCCTGGCAATTGGGGAAATTTCTTAACGCCATGAATGGATCATCGGACTAGGATAAGTCTAGGGTCTAGGTGGCGAGGGCGATGACGACATTGCTTATGCGTGCTTAAATGAGGGATACGAAGTGAAATTATTAGAATAGTATCTCCTACCTCGAAGACCTTCCATAAGAGAGAGGAAAGGAACGAGGATGCTATTCGCCGACCCTTGGTGGGAT